CCACTAGGATGATTTTATTTCTTATTCATTTGAAAGAGTTCTATGTTCTGCCTGTTAATCCTTCGTTGGCTATGTCTGCGGAAGACACTTTCTGAGAGTACAATCTCTGGCCACCGAAGTGCCAGAGGAATAGAAGATGACAGGATGCTGCAGGGCGCCATCGGTTAGCGCACGGTACTTATAAGGCGGCTTGTGTGCGAAATAGTAGATGACAAATGCCTTCACAGCGGAAAAGAGGGGAGGGTGATGTCAGAGAGCTGGAAACAAACAAAAACAAAACCAGAAAGCACCACAAGAGTTTCCCACCCGCCCCCTGCCCCTCCCTTTGGTTCCAGCTTGCTGCCATTGTCACAGAGGACCGAGAGGGGGCAGAGCTGTTGCCGGTGCTCACAATCCCCGGGGACGCAGAGGGCAGGTGGCCTGAGGAATGCTGCCTTGAGCAAAGGCAGCAGCTGGTGCCGATTCTAATCAGAACAGAACACCGTAGAGCGATATCCCTTATGAACAGAGATACGAAAGTTCTCAACAAAATCCTCGCCAAGAGAATCCAACCAAATACAAATAGCTATGTTTTCTTGATCGGGTGGGATTCATTCCAGATATGCAAGGAGGGTGCCACATGAGAAAAACAATTAATCTACTCTACCATATAAATCAAACACATGAAAACAAATGCAGGATCCTATCAATGATACAGAAAAGGCAATTCTCAAACGTCAACACTCATTTCTGATTAAAAAATTCAAAATAACTCTCAGCAAAACAGGAGTAGAAGCGAAATCCCTCAGCGTAGCAAACGCCATCGATGCAAAACCAAAGGCAACATCTGGCTGAGTGGGAGTCGGGCAGTGAATCACATGAAGTGGCTCTTTGCCAGTCTCCAGCACCCCCCAAGCAAGCTCTCCCTGCAGGCATCTGCTAAGAAGGTCAGGGAAGATCTCATCACGAGCAAGACCAGACGTGGAGCCCGCCCTCCAGACCCGAGGTCCAGCTGACAGCCACACCATCAGAGGAGCAGCACCGGGAGCGGAGCACAGGCCAGGGCGATGGGCTCCCTAACCCACCAGGCAGGTTAGGATAAGTGCTCTTGTGCAGGAGGCTGGCTTGTGGCGTGGGGTGCCTCTGGGCACGTAATTCACAGAGCCGGGTTTGCTGACTCAGGGAGTTTGAGCCGCTACCTCCAAGTTGAAGCTCACGGCTGAGTGATATGGCCCCTTTGGGCATTTTTCAGAAGACTTGAAACTTTGTAACATGTCCTGGTAAACAACTACCCTGAGAGCATTTCCCACTGCCATTACAAGTTGTTAACTTCCTTAAAAAAACCCTTTAATCACGAAATTTGTCTGTGAGTTTCTGTGTAGCCATTGCAATGGATATCAGAAGCTGGAGACGTAAAATAGAGAACAGTAATTAAATCAGTGAAAAGGGGAGAAGCTGAACGTACTCCCCCTTTATCACCAGTCCTATCCCATACTGGTCTGGGATTCTTAGCTGGAGCTGTTAGGCAACAAGCAGAAATTAAAAAGCACTGAGGTCGGCGAAGAAGAAATAAAACTCTCTCTGTTTCCAGATGATATGATTCTACACACAGACAACCCCAGACTCTAAGCCAGTGGTTGTCCACCTTCCTCATGCCGCCACCCTTTAGTACAGATCCTTATGTGGTGGTGACCCCCACCAACCATAAAATTATTTTT